CCTGTCATGGATTTTGCAAAGGTTCACGCTAGAGATGCCCACTGGCCAGCCTCTGCCTGACCTCCAGGGCAAGTTTGGTGTGGTTCTTCAACCCAAGAAATTCAAAGTCACTGCTAAACTAAGAGCAGATTGGGAAAACTTCCCACTAATGCAGCATTGCTGAGTAAATGATGTGTGTCTTTTGTACTCTTGGGACATTTGTCTTTTTTTTTATGAAGCCTGCTATCAAATATCACAAATCAGACATGAATATAATTCATATCTTGAGACAGTGTGACTCCATGATCAACAGTAATTGAGCAGAGTGCAACAGTCAGGTTCTGGAGGTAAAAATCCCATTCATTTTCTCCATGGGGAATTGATTTTTAATTGAACTGTTAATCGATGGTATGTGCTTTTGTTGAAGTCATCAGTCCACATTATTTCAACTTATTTTTAATCATGGAATTCTTTATGACAAACTACCTTACCCATAATTCTGCAAAGAAATGTCCACCAATCAGAAAATCTAAACAAGCAAAAAAGAACACTTTAGCACCTGCCGGCTCCTAAGAAGCAGTGAATGATGTCAATCTCTCTGCATTCTCAAATACTTACACTTGTAAATATACACTCATATTTTACAATAAATGTAAATATGTATTGCTTCTATATACGCATAATCATCTTTAAATCAAGTTATTTTCCCACTATTTTTTAGTAATGTCAATTTATTCTGTCCTTCAATAAAACTATTAAGTACAAAGTCTTGTACCTTTGTCTTTTTGTCCAATTTTCATTTATTTTCTTTAGCAAAGACTTTTAAGAAAGCCCTTTAGGAAAATGAATAAGAAAAAATACTTTGAGAACAAAGGTGGCTGAAAAAGGAAGACACTGCCATTTTGGATGCGTAACTGAACCACTCACAGAAATCCATTGGCTTTCAAAACATTCTTTGATACTCTTTAATTTGGTTGAGTCTTCTTATAAAATGCGGAAAATACAGTTTCATATATAAAAAGAAAAAGTGACTACGGATACAAAACTAAAACGTAGTACCAGGCTTGAATCAAAGCTTAAGAAAAAAAAGCAATTGGCTTTTTAATAGCCGCCTTCACCTTCAAGCACACACACACACACACACACACACACACACACACACACACACTGCTCAGTGTCAAAACAGCACAATGACAACTTTTTTAGGCAAAACAAATGAACATCTCATTCAAAGTGAGCTACCCAACATAGTGACTCAGATTTCCATTTCCTTTTAATCAATACCTTTGGTCTCAAACATCACAGGACGATAGAAAACAATGGAGACTAGAGCTACAGAAAGATCGTCATGAGCACCATTGCTGCGACAAGATGACTTGACTTCATAGCTTCAAGCTTCACTTAATCAGTCAAATAATTTTGATGCTATGATGCTATAACTGGTCCAAATCATTCAGAATGCTCAATATTAGGTTTAGCAAAACAATACTGCTACACAAATATTTCCGAAGGCACCACGTCAATGTTGGCATCTACCTCCCAAACCGTTTTTTCCAGCTAACACACTAGGAACCTAATTTACCGGCCACATCACGTTTGAAAGAAAATTAGCCACCATTTACAAAGGAACACTCTGATCTGAAGATCAACAGGGCCGAAAAGCCATCTGTGCCCAAGCTAAGACTCTGTTATAGGACGCCTATAACTGCTAATCTAAACCAAAGGTCAAATTTTGATGCTATGATGCTATAACTGGCTATAAAATCATTCAGAATGCTCAATATTAGGTTTAGCAAAACAATACTGCTACACAAATATTTCCGAAGGCACCACATCAATGTTGGAATCTACCTCCCAAACCGTTTTTCCAGCTAACACACTAGGAACCTAATTTACCGGCCACATCACGTTTGAAAGAAAATTAGCCACCATTTACAAAGGAACACTCTGATCTGAAGATCAACAGGGCCGAAAAGCCATCTGTGCCCAAGCTAAGACTCTGTTATAGGACGCCTATAACTGCTAATCTAAACCAAAGGTCAAAGAAACACAGTGGCCTGAAGAACGATCCACTTAAAGCATCCTACAATGACACACACACACACACACACAGTGTAGGGAAGTGAAGTGTAGTGGAGCAGCTTTCAGTCTCACCGCCACAGAAAAACAAATCTCAATCTCATCATGAACCTGACTTAAGTGCTACACTAACATGACATTAACCTTACCTGATCAGCTACAATAAAACGCACATTAAAAGCTTAATAAGGCCTGTACATAAGTTACTGTTAGTGGTGATTAAGTGAAGCCCTTACAGTGTTAAGATACAAAAACAACTTAAAAGCACTAAGGGAGAATACAGAAATTAAATTAAGGCAAAAAACAAACATATTTCAATGATATGTTTCGATGGAAGGCTTATCAAGTGATCCTTTCAAACAAGACGTTGCCACTGAGCAAAATCTTCACTCATACTGGCCCTTATTTTATGCAGAAATTCTACGAGACACACTCTTCTCTTTAAGGCATATGAAAACTACTTAAATCAACAAAGGCACCTAGTGTAAATGTACAAGCTGGGTTCAATCTATATACAAAGGTATTTTCAGCCTTCATTTGAAGAGTCTTTGCATAATGAACTTCAAAATGTACTACTATATAGCATGTGAATATATTCAGTTTCTGCGAATAATCATACAAAATATTGGATAAAGCCCGAGACCATGTTATACAATGATGAGACAAAATAAACAAAATGGCAACCACACCCTGCTGGGTAGGGAGCACACAGTCAAATAATTTTGATGCTATGATGCTATAACTGGTCCAAATCATTCAGAATGCTCAATATTAGGTTTAGCAAAACAATACTGCTACACAAATATTTCCGAAGGCACCACGTCAATGTTGGAATCTACCTCCCAAACCGTTTTTTCCAGCTAACACACTAGGAACCTAATTTACCGGCCACATCACGTTTGAAAGAAAATTAGCCACCATTTACAAAGGAACACTCTGATCTGAAGATCAACAGGGCCGAAAAGCCATCTGTGCCCAAGCTAAGACTCTGTTATAGGACGCCTATAACTGCTAATCTAAACCAAAGGTCAAAGAAACACAGTGGCCTGAAGAACGATCCACTTAAAGCATCCTACAATGACACACACACACACACACACAGTGTAGGGAAGTGAAGTGTAGTGGAGCAGCTTTCAGTCTCACCGCCACAGAAAAACAAATCTCAATCTCATCATGAACCTGACTTAAGTGCTACACTAACATGACATTAACCTTACCTGATCAGCTACAATAAAACGCACATTAAAAGCTTAATAAGGCCTGTACATAAGTTACTGTTAGTGGTGATTAAGTGAAGCCCTTACAGTGTTAAGATACAAAAACAACTTAAAAGCACTAAGGGAGAATACAGAAATTAAATTAAGGCAAAAAACGAACATATTTCAATGATATGTTTCGATGGAAGGCTTATCAAGTGATCCTTTCAAACAAGACGTTGCCACTGAGCAAAATCTTCACTCATACTGGCCCTTATTTTATGCAGAAATTCTACGAGACACACTCTTCTCTTTAAGGCATATGAAAACTACTTAAATCAACAAAGGCACCTAGTGTAAATGTACAAGCTGGGTTCAATCTATATACAAAGGTATTTTCAGCCTTCATTTGAAGAGTCTTTGCATAATGAACTTCAAAATGTACTACTATATAGCATGTGAATATATTCAGTTTCTGCGAATAATCATACAAAATATTGGATAAAGCCCGAGACCATGTTATACAATGATGAGACAAAATAAACAAAATGGCAACCACACCCTGCTGGGTAGGGAGCACATTCACTTATTGATACAAAAAAATATATATTTGAGATAATTACTTTCCTTCATTTTTCTGAATAGCATCATGCAGATACTCCAGATCAAACATTTTCAGAAAAAAAGACAAGAAATAAAAACAAGAAACAACAACTGAACATTAAAGCTCTGAAGTATTAACAGACTGCTCTGTGGTCGTCTTTTCCATTTTTTTCGTGCACAATGTAATCTTAAATTGATAATTCACCAAAAAATGAAAATTCTGTTATCAATTACTCACCTTCATATCATTCCAAACGAACAGACAAGACTTTTGATTTTCTTTGAAACAAAAATTAATTCACCTGCAAAATTTCTGTATCTCCTTTGAAATTCCACCAAAATACTGATGCTTCAAAAAGTTCATAAAAAGATCATATATGTAATCCATATGAATCAAGTGGTTTAATCCAAGTCTTTTGAAGAGACATGATTGGTTTATATAATTAACAGATTTAATTCACATTTAAACACCGAACATGAACATAGAACCAGAATTTCAACTGTACTTGCTTGATGCGTAACAAGAAACGTCATTGGTTCTCGTGCATCATGTATGTTTCATCTTTTATTTACCATATTTGATGTGCATATGGATTTATTTTACAATCTTGAACTTTTTAAAGCGTCCACTTTTAGTGGAATAGACTTTTTTTTTAATGGATCTCTCTTAAATTTTTTATTAAAAATATCCTTATTTGTGTTTTAAAGATGAACAAAAGTCTTGTGTATTTGGAATGCCATGAGAGTGACTAAATAAAAGACAGATCTTTCATTTTTGGGTGAACTGTCCCTTTAAGTATTTTAAAATGACATCAAAGATAAGAATTCAAGAGCAAAAGCCAGCACAAATCAATATCCCCTGACCTTGTGTGCCATCTTCATCTCAGTAGGAGGTAATAGCCCCCAAAAACCAACAAAAAGCCTCCAAATCTACAGGCATGTCACCCAGAGCTCGATAAGGCTATAAACTGAAGAGAATTTCCTCTGTGGCTTTGATCGTGACCTCTCTGTGAGGCAACAGACCTATTAACGTCTTTACTAGATTACCCTATTAATCCATAAAACCGTGAGGACTCACACATTAACGCCCTTTTAAAACTCCCTCGCTCTCTCTCTCACACACACACACACACACACACACACCACATTTAAACACCGAACATGAACATAGAACCAGAATTTCAACTGTACTTGCTTGATGCGTAACAAGAAACGTCATTGGTTCTCGTGCATCATGTATGTTTCATCTTTTATTTACCATATTTGATGTGCATATGGATTTATTTTACAATCTTGAACTTTTTAAAGCGTCCACTTTTAGTGGAATAGACTTTTTTTTAAATGGATCTCTCTTAAATTTTTTATTAAAAATATCCTTATTTGTGTTTTAAAGATGAACAAAAGTCTTGTGTATTTGGAATGCCATGAGAGTGACTAAATAAAGACAGATCTTTCATTTTTGGGTGAACTGTCCCTTTAAGTATTTTAAAATGACATCAAAGATAAGAATTCAAGAGCAAAAGCCAGCACAAATCAATATCCCCTGACCTTGTGTGCCATCTTCATCTCAGTAGGAGGTAATAGCCCCCAAAAACCAACAAAAAGCCTCCAAATCTACAGGCATGTCACCCAGAGCTCGATAAGGCTATAAACTGAAGAGAATTTCCTCTGTGGCTTTGATCGTGACCTCTCTGTGAGGCAACAGACCTATTAACGTCTTTACTAGATTACCCTATTAATCCATAAAACCGTGAGGACTCACACATTAACGCCCTTTTAAAACTCCCTCGCTCTCTCTCTCACACACACACACACACACACACACACACACACGCAGGCACACACATACAAAATACACCCAAAGTGACATAGCTGACAGTACAAACTGATGTATCTCAAGAAAGTAAAGGGAAACAGCAGTCTAAATTAAGTCTCTGCTGGAACCGTTTGTGCTCAACTCTGGGGGTCCGTGTTGTTGGCATGATGCGGACCGTCCTGTTCGTTGATGGTGTGCAGATGGAGGCAGACTGGAGGTCGCTGATGCTCTCTTTGCTCTAGAGGCACATCTGAGGCAGCCAGGCCCTGTTCCTCATCCCCCGAACCACGAGGAGGGCTGCCGCCGCCGCCGCGGAGGTTGCAGCTATCACAGAAGTCCTGCTCCTCGAGCACCCCTCCATCCATGTGCCCTACAAGCTCTTTCATCTCCTCCTCTTCCTCTCCATCCCCGGGCCCCTGGTTGCAAACGCATACCTCAATCCCAGAGTCGCCTGTGAAGCGCCGGTGGCGTCCTGGAGTCTTGTCTTTGTTGTCGGGAGAACAGTCTTCTACGGGTTCAGTCAGATCCTCGCCCGAGTTGCCCTGTTTGACGGGGCTGTGTGAGGTAGCGCACGCCACCTGCTGGGGCTGGGGCTGCCCGTCCTCTCCTCGGCTGAGGTACTGTGGTTTGTGACTGTCTCTGACAGGGCTGTGTGCAGTGGCAGTATGTGGCTGCTCTACACAGGGTCCCAGGGAACAGTTCTCAGATGCAGACGGGACGACGGGGCTGGACTGCAGTGGAGGGCAGAGCTCATCTGGTTGTTCAGAGCACAGGGGGTCAATGCTGGTGGACTGGCCTGGCTGAGAGGCACTGTACGGAGGCGGGGGCGTCGGAGGTCTGTTCTCAACTTCCTCGTATGCCGGTAAGAGGTAGCCAGACAGAAACCCTGGAGAAGAGGACGAAGAAATGCATTTATTGACTGACCGTGACTAAAGCATGCATTTCTTCTAAGGGGCAATGAACAGATCAAGTAGTAGCTCTTCCAAGCTGTTAATAACTTGATTCAGATATTACTGTTAGCTATTTACAGACAGTTATCACCGATCTGCATACTTACATTTTATCCAACTTGTACTGCTTTGTTGGGCATTCTATAATAACTCAAATGTACCCAATCTATCTCGGTTTACTATTCCACTTTATTAACATTATTGTATATTTTAAAATATATTTCATTGTACACTCTTAGAAAAAGGTTATAGAACCTTTTTTTATTTTTATTTTTTTTTAAGAAGAGTTTACATTGCACATAACTATAACCAGAGATGCAAACAGGTAAGGGGGAAAAAAAGGTGAGAACATTGCGCGGATTGGGGGCATGCTCCACATGGAATTTATTTTAAAGATATTTGCTTTACATGCTACCCAAAGTGACATTGCTGACAGTACAAACTGATGTATCTTGAGAAAGTAAAGGGAGACAGCAGTCTAAAGTAAGTCTCTGCTGGAACCAGTTGTGCTCAACTCTGGGGGTCCGTGTTATTGGCGTGATGTGGACCGTCCTGTTCGTTGATGGTGTGCAGATGGAGGCAGACTGGAGGTCGCTGATGCTCTCTTTGCTCTAGAGGCACATCTGAGGCAGCCAGGCCCTGTTCCTCATCCCCCGAACCACGAGGAGGGCTGCCGCCGCCGCCGCGGAGGTTGCAGCTATCACAGAAGTCCTGCTCCTCGAGCACCCCTCCATCCATGTGCCCTACAAGCTCTTTCATCTCCTCCTCTTCCTCTCCATCCCCGGGCCCCTGGTTGCAAACGCATACCTCAATCCCAGAGTCGCCTGTGAAGCGCCGGTGGCGTCCTGGAGTCTTGTCTTTGTTGTCGGGAGAACAGTCTTCTACGGGTTCAGTCAGATCCTCGCCCGAGTTGCCCTGTTTGACGGGGCTGTGTGAGGTAGCGCACGCCACCTGCTGGGGCTGGGGCTGCCCGTCCTCTCCTCGGCTGAGGTACTGTGGTTTGTGACTGTCTCTGACAGGGCTGTGTGCAGTGGCAGTATGTGGCTGCTCTACACAGGGTCCCAGGGAACAGTTCTCAGATGCAGACGGGACGACGGGGCTGGACTGCAGTGGAGGGCAGAGCTCATCTGGTTGTTCAGAGCACAGGGGGTCAATGCTGGTGGACTGGCCTGGCTGAGAGGCACTGTACGGAGGCGGGGGCGTCGGAGGTCTGTTCTCAACTTCCTCGTATGCCGGTAAGAGGTAGCCAGACAGAAACCCTGGAGAAGAGGACGAAGAAATGCATTTATTGACTGACCGTGACTAAAGCATGCATTTCTTCTAAGGGGCAATGAACAGATCAAGTAGTAGCTCTTCCAAGCTGTTAATAACTTGATTCAGATATTACTGTTAGCTATTTACAGACAGTTATCACCGATCTGCATACTTACATTTTATCCAACTTGTACTGCTTTGTTGGGCATTCTATAATAACTCAAATGTACCCAATCTATCTCGGTTTACTATTCCACTTTATTAACATTATTGTATATTTTAAAATATATTTCATTGTACACTCTTAGAAAAAGGTTATAGAACCTTTTTTTATTTTTATTTTTTTTTAAGAAGAGTTTACATTGCACATAACTATAACCAGAGATGCAAACAGGTAAGGGGGAAAAAAAGGTGAGAACATTGCGCGGATTGGGGGCATGCTCCACATGGAATTTATTTTAAAGATATTTGCTTTACATGCTCATTTGTAGTAAATTTAAGGTATTTAAAAAAATATTTTTATTACCTTATATGTTCAAAACTGTAATTTTTCACAAAATTAAAATTAACATCTTGTTGCAACATTATACATAAATCAAGATTTAATATATTTGGTCAAAATCCTATGTTATAAAAGATGAAGAGCTATGCAGGCTATTTAAGACAATATTGGCTGATTAGATGGAAATGCCGACCAAAAATGCAAAATGTTTGCCCTCTCTCTCTTCAACGTTCCCACATCTCAGACCTAAAATATATAAAATATTACCCTTTTTAGACACAGTTTCTGAAGTAAAGAGTAAAGTAAATACTACACAACCAGGGGCCAGTTGCATAAACTTAGCCACCATATTACTAGTTTGACCAACTAGCAGTTGCCAAGGGGTAATCAGTCTTACTTTTCCAATACAAGTAAAACCAAACTACCTTTTCATAACTGAATTAAAAAGTTATGACCAGTCTTGAAGAAAAAAAATAGATGGCTAACTTTTTAAGACTAGTCTAAACAAGTTTATGCAACCAGCCCCAGTTCTTTATTTACCCCTGTAAGATCACAAGTACCCTTATAAGACCCCTCCGCTCTCATAAAAATACTTTCTCATTGGATCTAAGCAAATCTCATAGGTGACCTATTTTGATCTCTAAAAAGTGAGAAAGGTGAGGAGTTTGCATCTATGTATAACCTCAATCATCCTATTTCTTCACCTGTACATTAGCGTCTGATCCAATCTCTGTGGCCAAAACTAAATTGCACCTTGGGAGATAAATTCATATTGTACTGTATTGATTAGAGGTAGAATGACAGGGGAATGAATCGGGTACTGACTGAAATAGAAGGGTAGAGAGGTGTAATTATGGGCTTCTCTGTAAGCGATGAGGTTGATCTCATGCTGCCGCTGCTGTTGTTGCAGTCTGTGTTTGGCTCGACGGTGGTGGCACAAACAGCAGCAGCCCAGAATGATGATGAGAGTCAGGACCAACCAAAACCCTGATGAAAGAGCACACACATAACACAGTACTGTTAATGAGTGAAGAGAACATCATGTCCGAACCAGGCACAACACACCATAAATCACAACTCTTCCATGTTCATCTGAGTCGTTGACACCAGTGTTGTCTGACAAGACGACGTTTTGTTAGTTGCTTGGTTTCTATTTTCATTGTGTTTTGTCTTAAAGGGGTCATATGATGCGATTTCAATTTTTTTCCTTTCTCTTTGGAGTGTTACAAGCTCTTGGTGCATAAAGAAGATCTGTAAAGTTGCAAAGACTAAAGTCTTAAATCCAAAGAGATATTCTTTATAAAAGTTAAGAGTCAGCCACACCTACCTAAAATGGCTCGTTCTAACACGCCCCCACATACCTACGTCACTATCTGGGAAGATTTGCATAACGCCGCCAAAATGTTCACGCAAAGAAAGAAGGCATAACTTTTATTCTCGCTGTAGTATTGTTGCCGCCGCCACCATGTCGTGAAGGCACTGTGCTTCGTTGTGAAAGCGAAACTACTTTGTTTGGTCTTCCAAAAGAGGACGATATCGCTTCGTCATGCCTAGAGCTGATCCGTGCTGGTCGCTGAGGAAATACTTCAACTTCGCGCTGTCGATCGCCGGATATATAGTGTACAGTATGTGGAAAATAATGTGTTTATTTAACCTTAAACCGCATAAACATTTCATTACACAAAATACTGTTCTTTTTAGCAGCATCATATGACCCCTTTAAAGCTCTACCCACAGTCAAATTTCATTAGTCCAACATTTTGATTGGATGCACACTGTGTACACGCTACTATTTAAAAGTTTGCAGTTGGTATGATTTTTTAAATGTTTTTGAAAAAAGTCTCTTATGCTCATGATGACTGCATTTATTTGATCAAAAATACAGTAAAAAGAGCAATATAGTGAAACAGTATTACAATTTACAATAACTTTCATATTTTAATACATTTCAAAGTGCAATATATTCCTGTGGTGGCAAAGCTGAATTGTCATCATCCCTTACTCCAGTCTTCACTGTCACATGATCCTTCAGAAATCATTCTCATATGCTGATTTGGTGTTCAAGAAACATACATTTTTTTATGCATTGATGCATTTTTTTATACAGTGATACTTTTTTTCAGGATTCTCTGAAGGATAGAAAGTAAAAACAAAAAAGGGTTTATTTGAAATAGAAATCTTTTGTAGCATTTTAAATTGTCACTTTTGATCAATTTTAAGCATCTGTGCTTAAACTATTAATTTCTTCACAAAAACAAAAAAAAAATCTATAAAATATTTTCATATTGGTACAGAAATGTCTTCTCCCAAAACAACCTAATTATCTGGCACCAGATCACAAGAGAAGAATGTGCTGGACATTAGGGTGTGACGCTCATCAGCTAACGGTAAGAGTCGTGTGGGTCAGTGTCGTGTGTGTGTGAAACTTAGCCCCAAATAAAGCAGAGACCTTTTCTGGCAGACAGGGGGTCCACTTTTCCTAATAGAGAAATTTAAGGCAGCTGTTTACAGGGGCTGGTCTGATCCAGTTACACTGGATTTGTGTCTGTCCGGGTCGCATATCTCTGGCACGTTGTACAAAACCCAAAGTGCAGCCCCTTGACTCAGCAGACGATGTGCTGTAATTACCGTGGAGATGAGGTTAGTCCTCAGTTATTAAAATAGATGGTACACCAGAGGGATAGGGGTAATTTGATAACACACAAAATGAACACCGCCAATGGGCGTGAACAGGGCAGAACAACAACTAGATCAGGGCCAGTCAATGACATAAAAGTTAGAAGCAACACACACATATCATACCCATAATTAAAACCTATGAAAGATGTTTAAAAAGAAAGGACAAAAAAACATAATATCCATTTGTACTGTGAGGTCACTTACATTTGTGCTTGAAATTATAGCAGATCTAGTTCCAGTAAGCTGCGTGATTGAACACCTAAATCCCATTACTATTTACGGAAACAAAACAATTACAGTGTCAAACATGAGCCATGACTTGGGATGTCTTTTCCCAAGGCATGCCGCCTCCTGTCCAACCCATAGCTGGCATCAGAAGCTTGGGCTGCTTACTGCAAACAACTTGAGAACAAAAGCAGGTGGCACGTTACACTCCTAAATGCTATTACAACTGTATTTAAATGCTGAATCATTTCAAAGTTGAATGTAATCTAATTTAAAAAAAATCTAGACAGGCTGCCTTTTCTATCAGAGTTTACAGTGTCCTGGAATTGGGACGACTGTAATTTACACAACCGATATGCACTTGAAGTGACTACACACATATCCAAAGCAACTGGAGGATGTTTCAGACACTATAGAGAACATATAAACCGTGGACTGACCTCATCTTACAGCATGTGTAGGCAGGAAGGACTTAGATACTTACACCACACCTCGTAGTAATAGCTGCAACACTGAGATTCCCCACAGCAGTGGCCCGAATCACAGAAGTAGCTCTGGTTGTTCACTCCTACACAAAGCAGCCGGGTCTGCAAAACCAAACAGAAAATATAAGCATATTATCAGCACAAATCCCAGAACAGCTCTGTGCACCAAAGGCTTTTTTATGGCGATAAACTAAAATGAAATTACATTTCAGTGCAATATATAGCCAAACGAATAAGTACAGTAATATATAAAGTAAATAAATCACTCCAACACAGTGATACTGTGATACATACAGGTGATAATAAACAGCACATTAATACAGTTGACAGGCAGATCGCTATGCAAATCTTTGAGTGAGCAGACTGTATTATACTTGCATATAGTTACATTTGCTAATTAAATTAATATATAATAATGCTGACTCCTCTGCTCTCGTTTTACCTGTCTAAACCCCAGGAGAAACGGCATGATAGGCGTCTGATAGGAAAATCAACAGAGTTTTGTTACACAGGGCTGCAAAGACCAAGGGAGAGACAGAAGAGGAAGGTCGTGCTCAGGCCACCCACCGCCCACACATGGTACAGTGCGACATGAACTGCCCCCTTTATTAGCCGGAGGGGCTTGATTTAAACGCAGCCTCCCTCATGGCATTTCAGACTCAGTGAGGGCTGCCAGGGAATGCAAGTAAACAGGATGAACAGACAAGCGGTCTGTGCTTCTCTCACATACACGCAGACATCGATGACAACTGCTGGCCTGACAGTTGTCTCGAGTGGTGTGCTAGATACAAAAGATAGCCAAACTAAAATCTTGCCTGTTGAACAATAGTCTTAAATTGACAGTAAAATGCTATATATGTAAAATGCTAAAAAATGCTGATAACAAGCAGTGGAAAGCAGGTTTGAGTGTTCAGTGCTGCAAACCTGTGCAGGGTTGGACGTAATGCAAAAAAAAAAATCATAGACAGAATGGCAACTGGCAGCAAACAGCTGAGTTAAAGGTTAATTAGTTAATTATTACACATTCCTGGTCTTATAAATTGGAACATCCAGAAGACAAAAATTCCATTCAAATACATTTTTAGTGATAATTTATGAAGCATTCAAGACGAACTAACCAGGAGCTCCAATGTTGTTAAGTGATGTTATATTAGACACTGTTATCCAATTTACGTCTACTAAAGATATACATTATCAGTTAATGCATTTCCTGGGAATTGAATCTGGAACCACATCTGCCGTTTATAGAAAAGCATAATTCACCCCAAAATGACATTTCTATTATCATTTATTCCCCCTCATGTCGTTACAAAGCTCTATGACTTTTTATTCTTCTGCTGAACATAAAACATTTTTTGCAAAATTTTGGCAACAAAACTGTTTTGGTGACAACCGACTTCCATTGTGTGGATAAAAAACACTGAAAAATTTCTCAAGAGATCTTCTGTTGAATTTTACAGAAGAAAGAATGACATTTTCATTTTTTGATGAACTATCCCGTTAAGTACACAATGTTTTGCCTTTGTTATCTCCTAATTAATAGTTCAATACCTTTTTTTGAAATGGAAAAGGATGATTGTTGTGCTCAAAGAAAAACAAAAAGGTGATATAATCTTTAAATAAAAAAATAAAATGTGCAAAATGCCTGAGTAAATTTATTCTCTTTTAAAGTTGAACTTACGTTGGAAGTTGATATGTACACTACTGTTCAAAAGTTTGGGCTCAGTGAGTTTTTTTTTTCTTTTTGAAAATAATATTCAGCATGGACACATTAAATTTTTCAAAAGTGACAAGAAAAACATTCAGAAAATGACAAGATTTCTATTTCAAATAAATGCAGTTTCTTTGAACTTTCCATTCATCAGTGAAGAATCCTGAAAAAAAAAAAAAAAATCATACAGACTTCTGAACTTTTGAACAGAAGTGTGTCACTTAAAAAGGTTGTGATGTAGAGCTTCTCATTATCCGATCCCAATTCTTCTCTCATCAAAAGTCCTGTTTGACTTCAGAAATGTGACTATTGAAGTAAAAGCTGTGAACGCCATTTCATAGGCACAAAGCATGTGGTTTTTGTAATGTTAGCAGATCAGCTTATCTTTTAGGCACCTAGAGATAACACCTGTGGAGAGCAAACAGCTCACTCCCTGCTTTTTTCATTCCCTGACCTTGATCTACCACCTGTCACAACAGAGAGAAGAGCATCTTCTTCATACACGCCTATCACAGTCAAGGCCAGAATAAATCACACAGTCAAAACAGCCTTAGCCCGTCATCATTGAAATCTTTTAAATATGTGCTTTTTCTAGACAGCCAACATTAAAGTGTCAATCACAGTCAACTGTACAATTCAAACTGTCATTAAACAATTCGATTGCAGAATGATCACAACCTTAATACCAATAAAACCTTGCGCTGGTTGAAATATCCTATTGTACATCCTTACTTCAGCGGCAGCAGTAAAAATAGACGCTTTTTAAAAATTATTTACCCATCAGAAAGGATAACATTAGGACCGAGACAAAGCTTTATGAATCATTCATTTGGCTGTGTATTTACATGGAATCTCAGCAAGACTGAAATGGAACAGACTTTCCTAGAATTGTATTCTGTTTACAGATTAACATTGCTGAACGTTTTTGAATTAGTCTAAATAGGAACCTAAATGTAGGGAATCAGGGTGTGAATTGTTGACTTTAACAAAGACTTAAAGATTCATACAAGGATATTGAATCACTTACTCAAAAGCAGCCAAAGTCACCACCGACCGACCGACTACTGAAATACCTTTCTTTCTGTCCTTTCTTTGGCAACCAGCAGTTTAATGTTTAATGGCAAATAAAAGATTGCAGTCAACATATCAGGTCCCACATTATTATTATTATTAGGTGTCTTTAACTACTTAGCTAAAAAAAAAAAAGGTTAAATATATCTTATTGTGTTTTCAGAACTTACTGTGTTCTTGCTGCAAAACACTTTGTGGCTATTGAGGTGGGATACAGGTAAGGTTAGGGAAAGGTTAGGGAAAGGTTTCATGCAAGTAAAATGTACGTTTCATATAAGTATAGTGTAAAAACACGTATGAAATGATTCATTTAAATGCTGGTCTATTGTAGGTAAAGTGGGTCGACTTTATACATATATCTAGATTTAATTTGATTTACAATTAAAAGTAATGATGCCTAATTACGTGACACTGTTATAGTCCACATTTCATAGATCAGTGAATGTAGATTCCTGTACATTTATTTACTCTAAAAGCCATATAATGAACATAGCTAAAACTGTTCAGATCAGGTTGTTGTCATCCGAGTTTACTAAAACTGATTTTTTTTTTAAAAGCGGACGATAAAGTTCACTTACGAACTTTGTAAAATATGTTTGTGGCATGTCAGACTTAATCTAAATAAGCTTTGTTGTCAGTGCTGTGAACACAAACATACAGTCTGTGCTTCAAAACCTAACGAACTGACTACGTAGACAACATTTTGAGTACTATGAGCACAACATTTAAATGCACCTAAGGTGCTTCAAAATGCTGTCTAAGTAGGCAACTCACTAGGTTTTGAGACGAAGCCACAATCTACCGGCTAGGCTAATGATGCTAACAGGGTTTTTACCTCGGTCAGCGCTGCCTCCACTGTCACCGAACCGATCGGTCCAATAACCGCGTTACTTACAAACAACCCCATTCCCTGTTTTATATATCCAACCCCCCACATTCCGTCCTTTGCCGTGGCTTTCGACACATCTGCGACACGGTCGGACATTCAGCTAGCCTGCGAGCTAGCTTCAGTTACGTCGCTTTCTTCTTTCTTTCAACTCTCTCACAAACTCCGAAAGTCTCCGCAAGCCCAGCCCCCTGCTGCTATTGGTCCGTTCAAGCGAACACTTCCTGGTTTGACAACTAAACGGAGCGACGATTGGATGATTTATCTGTCGTTTAAACACAATTAAAGCGACGGCAGGGCGTGACTTTGTTGTTCTTTACCAGCTGAGATCAAGAAATCAGCTGACATTGAATTTAAAGGGACAGGAAATGACATATTTCCCATATGCAAAAAAGAAAGCAAGCAAAAGCAAGAAAGAAAGCGATAGATAAACTAGATATAATCGCACGGGCAGACAGAGAGAGAGAGGGGGTATTAATATAATTAATTATACAAGTATCTTTTCCTGCATGATACAATACAGTAATGCAAGTAGATAATATATGTAGTTATGTAAGTAAATATAACTAACGTAATTTGCCATGATGGGAAATATTGCAGGTTTCTGCCAAATACTGTACTTTTACAGCATTTAATGACATTCCTTATGTCACAAATCATATTTCCCATATCTGTGTTTTAAAGTATTTAAAGAGTATTTAAATAAATAAATATTTTAGAGTATTTAAACTGTGATATGATGGTGGCTTTAAATACTCAGTAATAACATAACCTAAGAAATACAGTGGATTGCGAAATTTTCTAATGTTTGGAATACATAAATATAGAATATTAAGAATACCAGACAAGATATACGGTAGGCCTACTTGGACAATTGATCAATTAACTATTATTTGCTGGATTCAGTTACCAAGGTTCTTAGGTATCTCAAGGATCTAATGTATAAGGTCAACTGCTAAATAACTACTGTGATTATTTTTTGTTAAAAATAGTTAAAAATGGAACATTTATGAATTAACCTTTTTCACTATTGCTCCAACAGATGCCAGTCCACACACACAGGGGATCAATTTATAGTGCCTTTCAAAAAAAAAAAACCCCAGATGAAAGCATTTTATTAGACAGGCTGTAGTGAAAACATTGGATTCAGACAGGCCTTGATGGCTTCCTAACCGTGAAGGCAGCATAGCTCAGGATTCAGACACAGCTTGGGTGTACGCTGTCATCAAGAAAGTGACAACCACTGATCCCTAGAAAATCAGTGTAATCTCTCAAGTAAACTTGTTTGTTTTGTGGTAAATGTTATTTTGACAGCCATAGCTAAGGGCTCTTACTCGTTTTATTCTTGAGACATATCTTTCCGACTTGGGACCGCGGCTTCTTAGGTGAGACCCTTTGAACCGAGCCAAGTTAAAAGGAACAAAAGCAAACAAATCACATTGTTCTTTCAGGAATTTTTCTTGTTCACTGCCTTTCATTTCTCTCTTTTTTAGGCACTTCTCTCATTTAGAACAGTGAAGTCAATGGATCCTTACATCCCAGCTTGACAAGTTAGGAGGATACAAGCTAATCCCCTTAATCTGTCTATTCTCCCGTGCAGTGCCAAAGGGGGAGAGGTACCCAGCACAAGTAATCCTGTAGAAAAAACAATAGGATTAGACCCCAGCTCTTGGAGTGACAATCAGATATCTACTGACTGATTTGCAAAGTAGGGTCGAGTTTCTTCAAATAAAAAAAAACTTTGCATGGCTGCATACAAATGAAAAGAACAGGCATCATATCTCACACTATCTCCATCATTTAGCCTTGTTGATCTGCTACATGTATCCTCAGTAAGCAGAGGAATCTGATCCGTCTGGTCTGTCAAACACTTTTTAAAAGCATTAGAGTTCGAATTATAAAGGGGTTGACAGAGGGTAAAGGGGTGGAGTGGTTGCTGCCTCCCCACCTCTCAGCCTCTGCTGTGGGAGAAGCCCAGGACCTGTGTGCTGGAAGCCAAGAATACATGCCTTTCATGCGGACCTCCAGCATCTGTCCTAAAGGAATCCCACCAGCAGTTAATGAAAGGCACCTTTTCCCAAAAGGAGAGAAAAAAAGCTAATTTGAAGAAACTCGACCCTACTTTGCAAATCAGTCAGTATATCTGATTGTCACTCCAAGAGCTGGGGTCTAATCCTATTGTTTTTTCTATAGGATTACTTGTGCTGGGTACCTCTCCCCCTTTGGCACTGCACGGGAGAATAGACAGATTAAGGGGATTAGTTTGTATCCTCCTAACTTGTCAAGCTGGGATGTAAGGATCCATTGACTTCACTGTTCTGAATGAGAGAAGTGCCTAAAAAAGAGAGAAATGAAAGGCAGTGAACAAGAAAAATTCCTGAAAGAACAATGTGATTTGTTTGCTTTTGTTCCTTTTAACTCTGCTTGGTTCAAAGGGTCTCACCTAAGAAGCCGCAGTCCCAAATCAGACAGATACTGTATGTCCCTGGAATAAAGCAAGTAAGAGCCCTTAGCTATGGCTGTCAAAATAACATTTACCACAAAACAAACAAGTTTACTTGAGAGATTACACTGATTTTCTAGGGATCAGTGGCTGTCACTTTCTCGATCACAGATAGGCAGGCATCAAGGCCTGTCCGAATCCAATGTTTTCACAACAGCCTGTCTAATAAAATGCTTTCATCTGGTCATTTTTTAAAAGGCGTTATAAATGTATCCCCTGTGTGTGTGGACTGGAATCTGGTGGAGTGGTAGGGGGAAAAAGTTCATTCATTAATGTCCATTGTTAACTTTTTAACAAAAGATAATCATAGTTAAATAGAAGTTGACTTTATACATTAGATCCTTGAGATACTGAAGAACCTTAGTAATTGAATCCAGCATTTTGATTTATATTTCACCCTTTTAAAGAATAATTCATTTATTCTTTAAAAGGGTGAAATATAAATCAAAATGCTGGATTCAATTACTAAGGTTCTTCAGTATCTCAAGGATCTAATGTATAAAGTCAACTTCTATTTAACTATGATTATCTTTTGTTAAAAAGTTAACAATGGACATTAATGAATGAACTTTTTCCCCCTACCACTCCACCAGATTCCAGTCCACACACACAGGGGATACATTTATAACGCCTTTTAAAAAATGACCAGATGAAAGCATTTTATTAGACAGGCTGTTGTGAAAACATTGGCAGGATTCAGGCCTTGATGCGTTGTACGCTGTCATCAAGAAAGTGACAGCCACTGATCCCTAGAAAATCAGTGTAATCTCTCAAGTAAACTTGTTTGTTTTGTGGTAAATGTTATTTTGACAGCCATAGCTAAGGGCTCTTACTCGTTTTATTCTTGAGACATATCTTTCCGACTTGGGACCGCGGCTTCTTAGGTGAGACCCTTTGAACCGAGCCAAGTTAAAAGGAACAAAAGCAAACAAATCACATTGTTCTTTCAGGAATTTTTCTTGTTCACTGCCTTTCATTTCTCTCTTTTTTAGGCACTTCTCTCATTTAGAACAGTGAAGTCAATGGATCCTTACATCCCAGCTTGACAAGTTAGGAGGATACAAGCTAATCCCCTTAATCTGTCTATTCTCCCGTGCAGTGCCAAAGGGGGAGAGGTACCCAGCACAAGTAATCCTGTAGAAAAAACAATAGGATTAGACCCCAGCTCTTGGAGTGACAATCAGATATCTACTGACTGATTTGCAAAGTAGGGTCGAGTTTCTTCAAATGAGCTTTTTCCCCCTCCTCTAGGGAAAAGGTGCCTTTCATTAACTGCTGGTGGGATTCCTTTAGGACAGATGCTGGAGGTCTCATGAAAGGCATGTATTCTTCGCTTCCAGCACACAGGTCCTGGGCTTCTCCCACAGCAGAGGCTGAGAGGTGGGGACGCACCATTGGCCTGGGTGACCGCTCCACCCCTTTACCCTCTGTCAACCCTTTTATAATTCAAACTCTAATGCTTTTAAAAAGTGTTTGACAGATGGATCAGATTCCTTTGCTAACTGAGGATACATGTAGCAGATCAATGAGGGTAAATGATGAGGGCAATGTGAGATATGTTGCCTGTTCATTTCATTTGTATGCAGCCGTGCAACATGATTTTTTTTTTTTTTCTGTAACATTTAATGAGATGAATGTCTTTTGGACAGTTGCTACTCTTTGATACACTTTTACAGTGGATACATATAAACCTATAAAAAAATCAATGTTTTACCGACAGATATATACTACACTCTAAAAAATGCTGGGTTGTTTCAACCCAATGTTGGGTCAAATATGGACCAATTTTGGTTACATTTTTAAATTAGCTTTTTAACACAACAGTTGGGTTAGTCCATATTTGACCCAACATTGGGTTGAAACAACCCAGCATTTTTTAGAGTGTACCATTTCCACAGAAAAATGTATCTACATATATAATTTAATTAAAAATAAATGAAATAATAATAACATATAAAAATGTATAATATAAAAGGTGTGTGTGTGTGTATGTATATATATGTTTATATTATATATAATTAAGAATAATTCTAGTATTTGATGTTTAATTTCTATATATTTATATATTACATTTACATTTAGCAGACACTTTTATCCAAAGCGACTTACAAATGAGGACAATAGAAGCAATCAAAATCAACAAGAGCACTGATACGCAACTTTTTAATATATTAAATTAATATAATATACTATTATATTATATTATAAAAATATAATATTAATATTATATTATAATTTTATATATTAAAAATACACATTTGATTAAATGTTTATTATTCAAATATTATATCATTATTTAATAGTTCAGATGTCCATCCTTTCAAATACAAAATATATGTATCAGAGTTGTTATAAAATACAATTAGCAAGGCAATATATACATTTTTGATCATTTTAATTTTTTATTTTCAAGACATACATTATACATATTTATGAGTGTGTGCATGTTTTTTTTTTTACTATTTATACATTTATGTATACTTTTCTGTAATGTTTTTATTATTTTATATATATTTACTTTCTATATATTTAATATATTTTCTTAATTTTTTATTCAAATATTATTTGAATTGTTCAGATGCACATTCTTTTCAGCAGTGAAAAATATTGCCTGTGCCTTAAGTGTGTCAGAATAAAATGCAATAGTTGTGTCTTCCTTGTGACCTTTAGATGGCACTATTGGTATAAAATTACCC